CCCCCCCCCCCCCCCCCCCCGGTGTCTCCCGGTGTTTTCCATCGGGGTTGGGGTTTTCGTCGCTTGGCAACGACGTTGTTGTAAAACAAGCCATTTCACTTCGTGAACTCGGCAACCAGGTTACCGTTTTATTGTATTTTTCCGAATTGAGTGTCATTTTTATTGTTATTTTCCACGAAGTCTGGAAGGTAACTCACTGGCAAATAACGAGGGGGCGACACCGATCGCCTCTCTCTTTCATCCAGCATCCAAACTTCCCTTCCATGTCAACTGGCCGGGCCTAACACAATGCCGTCTCACCCTCAATGGTACTTTACCATCGACATCCACTAGTCAGACCCTCATACCCCAGTTCTTCGTGGAATAAGAACAATCATAAATCGACATGTCCATAAATACCCCCCAGGTACTCGTACCCCCCGGTGTTCGCCCTCCCCCCCCCCCCTCTTTCGGAAAAAAATCGAGGGTGGCGTGGGTGGGAAAGACGACAACACTAGCTCCCGGAAACAGAATGTCCTAACAGGTAGCAGCTCTGGCCGTGTTGTCCACTCGTACGTCTAGCAATCCCTGTGCTCCTCCTAGCACTGCTGATGCTTCAACGTGATCGGGCGCAATAGGAATGTCCTGCGAGCAGCTGTCGTATCTCAGCACGCAGACATCCTCTTCGCCATATAACATAAATGCCCACTTCTTCACTCAACTCCAATAAAATCCCATTTCAGACTCTCCCCCCTTTGGTAGGATCCATCTGAAATTCTCGCTTTTTTGTTTTTTCCTCTGTTTTTTCTTGGCGGTAACCATAATTGTGGTCGAGTAGAGAGCGGTGGGCGGGGTGGAGAACCCTCACTCCGCACAAGGGGGATGATCGCACCACGTTGTGTTAAAATGGTCAAGCATCCTCGAGGCAGCTACACAGCGCTTACAACTGTCTCTGGAAGTGAACGCACCAGAAAAAAAATTAAGTCATACGCAGCTGTCATCCGTACGCAAGGAAGTAAGCACAAGATGTCGAACACCCTTAGCAGGATGCAGCTCACCCTTCATGCGACTCGCCGAATACCTCACGGCGCTTCGCGCTTGGTGATGTGAGAGCCTGGTCCGGTGAGAACCCGGCGTGCTCCGTCCCGGCTTTGTAGGGATGCGAGGTCAATGGTCTAACGACTACGGCATGCACGACTATGAGTACACCCCCCCCCCCCGGTGCACACAAACACACACATACAACCCGCACGATGCAAAATTGACATGCTTATCAACAATTTTGTGCAGGTTCCCGTCATGCGATCTTCAGGGTCAATGAACCGCCCCCTACTTGCCCGGAGTTTCATTTCCACCGCTACGGAGGCATGTACGCATTTCCTAGAACATGGCCTCGAAGCAGGCAATGATACAAAGTATACGTACCGTAGTCTGTGCCACAACAGGTTCTCATGAGCGTGGCAAAACCACATGAATACCTCAAACACTTTCTTCAAATGCAGTAACGTTGCACCGATGACCGCGCGACAATACGTGAAACATGAGTACGCCCCCCGCCCACACCAGCACGATGCAAAAATGACACACTTGTCAGCAAATTCGTGCACGCACCCGTCACGCAAGGCACTGCACTCTTCAGGCAAGCCCTAAACTTGCCCGAAGTTCCATTCCACCTGCTACGGAGGCATGCATCTACGGGTTTCTTAAAACTTGGTCTCTAAGAAGGCTATGATATACATACTTCATACAATATCCATACTTCTGCAGTAATCATGCAACAACAGTTTTTCATGACTTTTGTGTGGCAAAACAACATGATGAACACCTCAAAACACTTCCGTCAAAGTCATAGTATTGCACTGATGATTCCACGAGACACTAGGTGAACAACGAAAACAACTTCATTTCGGGAAAGTTTTGTCCCCCGATTGATGGGAACGCACTTGTGCGAATCGCCCACCAGCACGATCCCGTTGTTGATGGAAAACGCCACCGCAACGCAGAATCCATTGGCAACCTTGTGCACACATTCGCCCCTAAGGGACAGGGTTGAGACGACGAGAAATCTGGCATTTGACGTTTACGTTTCCGATTCACGCCGCGCCTGAAGCAACGTCGTCGTCATCGTCGTCGTCGCCTTAAATGATACACGGGGCCTCGTTAGTGTCGTCACAGTGCCTGCCGCTATCATTTATTTCCGATGAGCAGCAAGAATCAGCGCCAAGACCGTTCGAAGCGCCAGAAGTGCTGCATCCCGAACCTCCGCACTGGCCACACCGAAGTGGACAACAGACCTCGCCCTTGTGGTCGATGCCCTCGAGGCCGTTGCTGCACGTATTCTCTGTTTTGCAAAGGGCAAGTTCAACGAGTTTTTGTTGGAACTGAATGCGATGATGAGGTAGACATCAAGAGATGCAAGCGGCAGTGCCATCAAGGTTTGCCCCGACGCCTATCCTTACGTATATCATTGCACTTGTCACAGCTGTTAGCGGGAAGGATACTTGGGCTCCTAGGGGGCTGCGGCGCTCACCGTCATCGTCGTCTTCCTCACTATCATCATCGCCCTCATCGTCACCGTCATCATCATCGTCAGCGTTGGGGGCGCTGCCGTAGATGCATGGGGCCACGCCGGTGTCGTCACAGTAGTTGCCGCTACTCTTGATCCTTCCTCCGCAGCATGAACTAGAGGTAAGACCATTCGCAGCGCCAGCAGTGCTGCACCCCGAACCCGCGCACTGGCCACAGCCGAGCGGGCAGCAGACGACACCGTTGCCGTCGAGGCCCTCAATACCGTCGCTGCACGTGCCAACATCATCTGGAAACATACAGCGTAAACGATTATTCTTTGGCATCGTGGTGGGTGGGAATTCGACACAATTATTATCCTACACCCGTAACAAGCGGAAACGCTTGGGGTCAGAAATGAGCAGGGTTCTTGGCAGGTGTGGTATTGCGCTCACCGTCATCGTCATCATCGTTGTCATCGTCACCATCGTCGTCATCGCCAGCATCAGGAGCGCTGCCGTAGATGCATGGGGCCACGCCGGTGTCGTCACAGTAGTTGCCGCTACTCTTGATCCCTCCTCCGCAGCATGAACTAGAGGTAAGACCATTCGCAGCGCCAGCAGTGCTGCACCCCGAACCCGCGCACTGGCCACATCCGAGCGGGCAGCAGACGACACCGTTGCCGTCGAGGCCCTCAATACCGTCGCTGCACGTGCCAACATCATCTGGAAACATACAGCGTAAACGATTATTCTTTGGCATCGTGGTGGGTGGGAATTCGACACAATTATTATCCTACACCCGTAACAAGCGGAAACGCTTGGGGTCAGAAATGAGCAGGGTTCTTGGCAGGTGTGGTATTGCGCTCACCGTCATCGTCATCATCGTTGTCATCGTCACCATCGTCATCATCGCCAGCATCGGGAGCGCTGCCGTAGATGCATGGGGCCACGCCGGTGTCGTCACAGTAGTTGCCGCTACTCTTGATCCCTCCTCCGCAGCATGAACTAGAGGTAAGACCATTCGCAGCGCCAGCGGTGCTGCACCCCGAACCCGCGCACTGGCCACATCCGAGGGGGCAGCAGACGACACCGTTGCCGTCGAGGCCCTCAGTACCGTCGCTGCACGTACCAGCTGATTCTCGAAACGTACAGAGTTGACACCCGGGTCGTGCGGGCATGAGAAATACGTGGTAAATATTGGTGACAGGTTGAGCGCAGCGTGCTGATTTGTTGCTTATTCTGGCGTTGCAGGTCGACCCAACCAAGTATTGACAGGTACGGGACCGGTACTCATATCTTCTTCGTAGTGGAACAGTCTTGCCAATACTTCACACAGCCAGACAGCCAGCAAGTTCTGCTCTCTCGCCAGTGTTGACGTCGTCCAACAATATTGTTGTCGCTTCGGCTCTCCCGTCATACAGCCGTCTGGCTCCCTTATTGTCTGTTTGTCTGCCTGTGTCAAACGTTTCTCTCCCCACTACTTGTCCCTGCTCTAGTGAACCAATTGTTGCTTCGGCGGCGTGAACGCACAGAAAGCGCAACGACGCAAGAGGCATACGTTCGTGTACACACTCGCTCCTATTGTAGCACTGAGATGTCAAGGTTGTCTTGTGTTCGGTCTCGCTTCTCCAACGCGTTCTTCCCATTTCTCTTTTTGGGCAGTATTAAAATGCGCGCCGCACAGGAGAGACGGCTGTTCGTGTGTGTGGGGTTCGCCTTGTGACTATTTGGATACTTATCCCCAGTGACCCGACCCTTCTTCGCGTTTTTCTCCCCAATCCAAGGGAGGTGGTGGCCCAGCAGGGGGACCCAACAATGTTGAATTTCTTGTTGTAACGGTGCCACTCCGTTTGGAACTATGTGGACCATTGGGATTTTCACATTGGTATGGTCCTTACATTTCAAGCAGAGTCAGTGCAGCGGGAGCAGGAGCAATGGCGTCTCTGCGGAAACACTCACGGGTTTCAGGGGTGGATTCGGGCGTTGGTTCGGGCGTTGGCCCGGGTGTTCGTTCGGGCGTTGGCTCGGTCGTTGGCGGTTCGGTCGTTGGCGGTTCAGTCGTTGGCGGTTCAGTCGTTGGCGGTTCGGTCGTTGGCGGCTCAGTCGTTGGCTCGGGTGTTGCCTCCGGTGATGGGGTCACCTGGGCACACAACAACGAAGCACGCATGTGTGATGGGTTAGTGGTTTAGTTCGTTGCCGTCCCCACACTGCTTGTGATATCGATCGCTAAGGGGAGCACCCTCCTTTACCTACGCACATAAATACCCCACGATTTTTGCATCTCCGGCTCAAGAGCCAACGCCCGTGGTCAGGTTTGCGGCGGAAATTATCTTGCACCTCGTACGCCTCCCTTTTCAACCCACGAGGAGGGCTTCGCACACTTCCTGCCCTCAAGTGCACACACACGCGCACAAACCGGACCCTTTCCCGCGCCAGAGGGTGAAACGGTAAAAACTCGCCCCGGCGGTCTTCAACTCCCGTCCGGTGCATCTATCTAAGCATGACCGCCTGAAAAACAACTGTCGACGTTATAGCTTAAACTAGACCACGACCTATCCAAACAGAGCTGAACAATCAGGAATAGTTATGGCCAGGTGATGTGGGTATTTTCATTTCTATGTAAAAGACAAAGCGCAAGCAGTGGTCGATTACGAGATGTGTGGTTTCGGAACGCTCCAATACCTTTCCGGAGTCGTGATAGTAAGCAGAATGCCAGAGACAGCGGACTAGTCTTGCCACCCCAGTAAATATCGAACGTCCCACTCCTACATCTGGCAATGGAATGGGTGGCGCCAGCATATCAAAGGAAACGCACTACGCGCTGTCGCCACTGTATTTCGGTCTCTTTTCCCTAGTGTATTCTGTGGAGTATCGATATTACCGGTGTAGGGGTTGACCCGGGCTCCGGCGTGGGCGAAGAGTCACAGGGTTTCAACGGGTCGTAGTAGAAGTCTCCTCCGGAGTACTCGTACTGCATTGGTAGCGCCAAGTGCACGGAGAGACAGAGAGAGAGATAGAGAGAGAGAGAGAGAGAGATAGAGAGAGAGAGAGAGAGAGAGAGAGAGAGAGAGAGAGAGAGAGAGGGAGAGAGAGAGGGAGAGAGAGAGAGAGAGAGAGAAAGAGAGAGAGAGAGAGAGAGAAAGACAGAGACAGAGAGAGACAGAGAGAGAGAGAGAGAGAAAAAAGGAGCTCAGAGGAATGGTGAAGAGGCGCGCGCTCCTTTGCATGTTCTCCAGATCAACCTTTGACGAAAGTGCCTCAGCGGGGACAGAACGGCGGCACCGCATTGCACTCCTCCATGAGAGCCCCTTCCTACCCCTTTTCGTGTGCTTTTCTCATAAAAGAATCCGGTGTTGTGTCGTGTTCGAAACACCCGTCAAGTTTCGGTGGGAATCTCAGACGCCAGAAAATCGTCTCCTACTCCCTGATCTGTTCGCACGGAAACGCTCCACCAAAGTGATCATGACCGATCCCCGTACCCCCCCCCCCCACCTTGAGTATCGTATCCACAAGGAAAACAGGCCAGGAAAAACACCGGTCGCCAACCCAGGGTTCAACACTCACGTCGTCCTCGTCAACGTTATCAGGAAGTGTAACGTCGTTGTCGCAGATCTGACCCTGGGGGTCGACCATGACCTTTACGGCGGACTGCCGGCAGTCGACCATGGTGTTTCCGTATACCTGTTGCATGCGGGAGGGGCCCGGAGAGTTAGACGGCGGACGAGAAACCGGAGGCAGGAATTTGCGTATGATTTGGGAAAATATATACTGCCGTTGGATGTTGACTCGCTCGACACCATCTCATCTCGTCAAACTCAGTGCGTGCGAAGATGATCCAGCTCGAAACTCCTACACCTATCTGAAATCGTCCATGAGGCTACGTCACCCTCGATGCTCAGGTTTCTCGGGGCCCCGGGGGCGCCATCGGCAGGTGGCGCGTCTTCGTGTGACAGCGCGCTTTTAGCCGTAGAACCACAACTAGGATGGGCGTCAAAGAACCGTCTGCCTGTCGGTGACGGTGTAGCTCTCTACGGTCAGACACCCAACCCCATGACGACAGCAAGGTGATGGCGTTCCTCGGACAAGACTTCCTTGGCACAGCCTTTGAATTTCAAGCAAAACCGGTTCACGTGTTAGAGAAAATGCGGCGCCTTGCGATCGCATGCAGTTGGGATTCTCGGCATGGCCAGATTCCACTAGTACCTGGTTATTTTTGCCGTACTCAATGCCATCGACGGTGTGGCCTCCTAGACGGACACCCGCGCCGTCCGTGTCTTCGATGTAATTGTAGCGGATGATGCTCCGGTCACCACGGCTTCCGATGCCTGCCCACAAACGATGGGATTTTTTCGTTGCTGTTACTTGTGTGATTCGCGATTGCTTCAGTGCCCGCCGCAGCAGGTTGATGCAAAAACTGCATCTGAGGCGGAAGTGTTCCACGCTATCGGGAACGCTTGTACTGCTGTGGGTACACGCCCTCGTGCTTCTGGAATGCCTCGCAGTGTGCATGGCATCGCCCAGAGAAGACAAATTCCTATTCTAGGTTTTGCTAAATACGGATGCATCTCAACCAGTGCTGCACGGCTGATCAAGACTTGTGCCAACGACTGTTTAACCTGTCGCGATTGAGGCAATCATAAAATGCATCCCAGGTACGTGCATCGGCTATATATTCTCTCGACTACCTCCCTCAGCTATGTCTGCTATTCACGTGTTCGAACCTTAGCCAACGACGGAGCCATTCGCGCGCGCGTGGCCCCAAAGACCGCCTAGGCTACAGAGACGTTTTGGTGAAAAGGGACTGCAGAACGATCGATTCTTCTCGAGACAAGGACCCTCTCACTGGTCGAAATTTCAATTTCCCATCTATTTCACCTCGAACCGACCGCCACCAGCAAGAAGATCGTTGGAAGGGGCACACAAGGCGGGCAACAAATCTACCTATATGCTAAATGAGGATCTTATTCTGCATCACAACATCTCGTGGCTGAGAACCCTCGGCAGAGACGGGCTCACGAAAGACCCAGCTTCTGAATATCGCCCTTCTTGGGGCAAATTCGGGGCGAGACAATACCTGCTGGTGGTCGCCGCAGAAGGTCGTGCATAACGTAGGACGCAAAAGACATCACAGCCCCTGGGTCAGTTTTGTATGCTCGAATCACTTTGCGGCAAACAGGATGCTACAACCAAGTTGTACGATTTAGGAAAGCTCTTGGTGAAACGGGTCCAACCACGCCGTTTTCGGCACCGCCACGACGGAGTAGTTAAGCTTTGAGAATCGATCAGGGCGTGTGTATCTCACGCAACATGCGGTATGCTCTTTCGGCTCTTGATGTCTGCCACCTACACAGTTTCGCGCTTCGTGTCAAGAGGCCACGGTTTCTGAGCTTTTTGCTAGTACAGGGTCCGTTTTCGTACACCAATCAATATCTCACCGAGGACCGTTGTGAAAACAAGCAGAGCTTTTATATCTCTCTATCCTCGCCTTTTCGACTCACCTCCGGAGTCGTCGTCGTATTGCATGTACACCTCGTTGTACTCGATCAGGGTGTCAACGGTTCCTTCTTTCACGTCAATACCTTCATTACCCTGACGGAGGTGGTAAAAGTAGTAGCGACCACAAAGCGAACATGGGGGTCGTGCCGACAAGGCGGAGTTCTGGTAACCGGCGAGGAGCGGCCGTTGCTGCCCAAAGTATACCGCCCTTTCAAGCTCAAGCTGAGTCCAACCACAAACAGTAACCGTTCGGCGAGAAAACTGCGCTCCACGTCGTTTTCGAGCTTCGTCGTTTTCGAGCTTCGTCGTTTACAAGCTCGAGCCCGGCAACCAATAGTACCCGGCCGTTTTCGATTTGACCAGCCCGCTCATTTGAGATCATACACCTTGTATCAACTGCTATGATGTTGCGTTAATCGTTTCAAGCTGAGGCTGTGTACTTCGGTTCTGGCATGGTCTATTTCTGGCATGGTCTATGTCAGAGTGCAGCTCCAAAATGAAGTGTGATGATTACCCTGACGAAATAATGGCGCACATTTGTGTTTCATGGCAGGGGAAAATCATGGAGATAGTGAGGTTCGGTGCTTCTTCCCTTACCCTTGTCCTGATGTAGTTGTCACGGATGATGTTGCCCATGCACACGTCTGGTACGTCATCCCAATTGTTATCATTGTCCCACTGACTGCTCGAGGTTCCGACATCTGCGTGTCAGACATTAAAGCAAGTCACAGGGGAAACATTGTCGATGTCGATTCACACACTTGTACGATCTAGGCAGTTTTTTCCAAACGTTTCTACGACTTGGGACAATTGCTCACTCCAAAAAGGCGCGTGGTCCTAACGGTGAACCTAAGCATGAAGCGAGTGGATGCCGCGAAATCCATAGAAAAACATCGTTGGGACGCTCAATGAAGCAAGGCGCTTGACGGATATGCGCAGAAATCAAATCTCAATGTTTTCAAGGCACCGCCAGACTTCAAACTTCTCAGCAGTTCTTGTCGCTAACTGCAGCCGCACGCCTGCCCCGGGAATCCCTCTCGAATAGATTACCGGAAGGTTTTGTCTCACTCACATACACCTTCCCCGTTCTTGCCGTCGCCGTCTTCCCTGCAGGTGGATGGAAGCGCGGGCGGGTGGGAGGGGGACGAAGGGGATGGCGAGGAGGATGAGGACGAAAGGGGAGAGGGAAGAAGCAGAGCACAACAATAAAGACGAGGTGCCGGCGTGACACGCTACAAACTACAGCAGAGATTGACAGATAGAAAGACAGGGAAAAAATGGAATTTCGAGGCAGGACGGGTGTCCTCTCTTTTCTACCACACAATACAAACATGTGACGCGGCCTCCTCCACCGGGCTTTGCCCGTACCCCACCAAACCACCCCGGCCCGCCACGGCAGACACATAACGCGAGGCAATCTCCGTGGAAGCGGTCAGAGACCCTTCAAACCGCTTGAGGTCGAGCCTCGTCACATTTGGGCTACTCGAACCTGTAGTCGTAGATCCCTGGGCGTACGAGGGTGGTAACGGAAGAGTCGGGAGGCGAACACGGGGGTTCTCATTGTCGTGCATGCCGTAGTCGCTTGGCCATTGACCTTGCCTCCGTACAATGCCGGGACGGAGCACGCCGGGTTCTCACCGGACCAGGCTCTCACATCACCAAGCACGAAGCGCCGTGAGGTATTCGGCGAGTCGCATGGAGGGTGCGCTGCATCTTGCTAAGGTTGTTCGGCATCCGGTGCTTACTTCCTTGCAACGGATGGCAGCTACGAATGAATAAATTTATTTTCTGGTGCTTCAACTTCCGGAGACAGTTTTAACCACTGTCTCCCTCGAGGGTAACTGACCAATTTTGCCCAACGTGGTGCGATCACCCCCTTTGCGCAGAGTGAGCGTTCTCGACCCGGCACAACAGAATCTACTCGACCGCCAATATGGTATCCGCAAAAATACTTAGGAAAAGTAAGCGGTAACCTGGTTGTCGAGCTCATGAAACGATCGTTGCGGAGCGTCGAAAACCCAACCCCGATGGCACACGGGGATAGAATTTCAGGTATCAAGCTTCACTGACTCTGGTGTAAACGATATGCCAATAAGGTGAAATTTGTGCTGCGGCGTTGGAAGAAGCAACGCCTGAAGCTTACCGCAGTCGGTGATGTGGTTGCTGTACACCTCGGCGTACGTCACGTGGTCTTGGCGGGGAAGGTGGACAGCGGCAGGAGCGGCCGCGTATTTGATGGAGAAAGAACACGACAGCCGAAAGGAGAATGGTTCGGAACATGAACAAGAGCGGTTCCAACCTGTGCCGCCTGCGCAAAATTCACTTTAGACAGTCAGGGTTGTTTCTCTGCAGATAGATTCAACGGGATATGGATTGAAGAACACCGGGCTTCATGGAAAGAAGGAGAAATGGCACGTAGCACCACTTTGCACCGAGAACGAATGCGCTACAACCAAATATATGGTACTGCATTTCGCGTGCGAGAGACAGACCGCAAGTGCCATGAAAATATGCATGTCACTTCTTCTTCGCTTACCGCGCAAGCGGATGCACTCGCCACCGGCGTTGGTAACCGCCATGTTGCGAATCACAAGACCGTCTATCGCAGAAACATAGCCCCCATCCCTTTCTGTGGGCTCCCGGTTGGCTGGTTGACGGAGCAGGGAGCGAGAATATAGCGTCGACATTCACGAGAATGGATAAAGTGAGTGAGTGGGGGGGGGGACGGGAGTTGCGACCGGAGCTGCCGCCGTACATAGCCACGAGTGGCCATGACTACGTTGAAAGTCAAACACGAAAAATGGGTGAGGATGCATTCTCGTCATCAGCAAACAACACAATAATTAATTCTGGTACGACGAAAGCGAGAAACTTTACCCCTCTGCCCGTTTGTTCAACCATTCATTTCCCGTTGCATGCGTCACCTTCCTGGCAATATACCTTCTTGGTCTCGTCGTTGTGGAGATTTGAGAACAACGTTGGGATGGGGTCCGAGGTGAATTATGTCAAGGAAAACAGCAACAGCAACAACAAAAAGCGGTAATCCGCCTACGTCAACACTGCAACGCCATGGTTGCGGAATTTCACAAATCCGCCTACGTATCATAACACAGCGGCACCATGGTTGTAGAATTTCGCGCGACGCCATGGTTGGGGAATCTCCTACCGACGGCGTAGATGAGTTGGTCGCGCCACATATCTTCGGCAGAATCGGAATCCGCATCGCGGTCTGGATCATCTTCCGCATGTCCGTTTACAGTGAAGTCCTGATCGGAAACGAGCGGACCCGACACAAAAAATCGCAACTTGCAGTCTAGACACCTTCCGAATCAAACACACACTAAAAAAAAACAGAAAGAGCACGGCGATGCTGCCGGAAGAAAATGCCATCCACCACACGCTCATACTCGCTCGGAGACATGAGCGCCATTATTTTGAATGGGACATCGCGCAGTTTGTTGTAATAATGTATATATATGTATATTCATCTCCAAGCTTGATTCCGTGCCTACAACTGGCAAAGGAATGACGCTACAGAAGTTAGTTCAAATAATGATAGTATTTAACCCTGACGGCCCCTCCCTTTGGGTTGACCCATGCATTTCTTTGGAATCGTCGATGACCGGAATGTATATTGTAAACCGTGGCAGCGTATGCCCCACCATCAGCACACACACTTTTCATTGGTCAGCCGGTTAGCGCCGCCGATGCTAATGATAAAAACACATAGTCTACATGTACACAGTGAGTGCCCCGCGCCGTAACCGACGATGTCCGCACCTCGACGATGTAGTAGTCGTGCTTGATTTCTAACACCCTGGTGCTAGTGCCAGCACCGCGCAGAACGACGTTTTCTCTGCCGTCCGTCCCTCCAGCACCGCGGATGGTTATTGGCATGTCGGGCGTTCCATCGGTCTACACGGCAGCGACGACAGCGACGATAAGCTAATGTCCCCCCTCGAGCATACATTTCTTTGCGTCCGAAGTTAGTTATGAGGAAGAAGAAGCCTGGGGAAATAGGCTTCTCGCAAAACAAGCCGACGAACCTCTTGTACCAATAGCGATTTCCGGGCAAGACGGCGTTGATCACAGGGAGGGATGGCAACCCTGTGGGGACGTGTTCAAGGCTGCAAAGCCAGACCGGACACGGGCAATAACTTTTGTTGAGAAGCACGATGACCACTAGATAGTTTAGTGAGTGGTCTATAGTGGTCACATCGTGCTTCTCAATAATGATAATGAAGTTAGTTGTATAAGAAGAGACAAGAACGGAAAAGCACGAGCTTGGCCGCGAAAAAACCGTGGTCCAAAGCTCAACATGTAGCAGCCTCTCCTTGACAGGTTAGACTACACAGCAGTAGCAGCTGTGAGGCTGCATCAAAGTGAACGCCTAACAATTTTCGGCGTGACCTCGTTGGCGCTGTACCCCGCCGGCATGTTAGGGTGCGAGTTGAACACCTGCTTGTAGCTCACCCGTTTCGCTGTCGGAGACATTGTGTTCGTAACCGACTACACCGTTAGTTAGGGGGCCTACTAGTAAATGGCCCGTTGTGGTCTGCTTATCGTTTCGGTGCAACGTGCACGCATTGTTTTTTTGGTGTTGCTCAGGTATGTATATGTGAAGCAGAGCGCCCTCTCCTTCTTCTGACTGGACTACTACTACTGCTGTAGCGACTGGTGCTGTACATGTGGTGTTCCCAAAAGATGCGGACAGCCCTGAACACCCACGCGGGGCCACACCACCGTTCACCCACCCGTGTCTTAAGATCTTCCCAGTAATCTCCGTTCCCGAGTTCAATGACGTCACCAGGGTTGACCACATCGAGGGCATCCTGAGGCCATCAAGTAGCGCGTTGAGTCAATCAGTGCAGCACGCGCACGTGCATAACTTTATTCGAAATTTATTTTTGGGTGAGTCTGGGACGTGTGTAGACGTCGGTACTCTCGCAATCAAACCTACTGGGTCAACTTGGGTGGGGTTATTCTGAGTAGGATATGCAGCTTCGTATGCAGAAACAGTGTGCATAGTGAATAGATAGGGCTCACATAGTACAGACATACAAGAGTTGTTGTTTTGTCTTCACATTAAAAACCATTCCGATCTCTCTACCCAGTACCTTCATATGTCCGTACTGATCTGATCCAACACTTGACGAGGTCGATTCCCGTGGTCACGGGTTAGCTTACCCTAAAAAGGTACGCCCAAGCAAACTGGCCCCGAGAGGTCCGCAAGTCAATAGAAATCAACGACAGATAGATATAGACCGGTCACCCCGGTGGTCTAGTTGGTAACCTCGAAACCTTCTAGAGGGCGGGTCAGGGGTTCGAATCCCGGCGTAAGCGAGCTTTTCTTGCAAAGTGAGTTTTTCTCTCGCTTCCGCTCCTGGCCTAGTGGACAGCGCTAGGTCGTGTGTACACCGAGGGAAGAGAGTGCTGAACTCTTCTCGCATTAAAAATCCAAGGCAAAGTATCAACCGTGGTGTTGTTGTCGGCGGCAGATACTCCGCAGGAGGGGAGGGTAGAGAGGGGCGCTTCTGTGTGACCACGGGTAGGAGTAAACGACAGTGAGCGCTGATTTGAAGTGAAGACAAAAAAAAAAAAGTCTGGAGTCCTCGGCTCCCTCTGCGCGCTATGCGAGGTAACAATTGAGACTAGGAGTCAGCATCACGGGCCAGAGAGAAAGAGGTACACCCCCTTGGTTCAATCTTGGTGCTTCACACGCAAGCAGAGACAAGGCCATCTGACACAGAAAAAGAGAGAAAAAGAGCGACCAAGAGAAAAAAGAGAAAAAAGAGAAATAAACAAAAGGAAACAGGAAGGAAAGAGAAAATAAAACGAAAACGAAAACGAAAAAGAGAAGGGAAAAAGAGCGAGGACAAAAAGAGACCAGGCCGAAAATAACAGGAGACAGAATATTGGTAGGATGTAGGATCTTCGGGATCTGTTGTTGTTGTTGTTGTTGTTGTTGTCTTCACATTAAAAACCGTTCCGATCTCTCTCTACCCAGTACTACCTTCGTATGTATGTCCGTACCGATCCAACACTCGACGTGGTCGATTCCCGTGGTCGCAGGTTAACTTACCCTAAAAAGGTACACTCAAATAAACTGGCCCCGAGGGTCTGTGAAATACTGTAAAACACATCATCATGGTTCTTCGTACGTGTTCGTTTCTCTTCTGATTACCGACAACAACGAATGTCGATGAACCTTTTGGGACTGCTGGGAAATGAGTCCATGAAGGCTCGCCCACTCTTCGCACCACACTGACTGCTGGCTTTAATGAGTTCGCCGGGTCACGCTTGACGTTTCTCGCCACATCGCAAGGAAACACCCAGCCTCCGGTGACAGGTCATATAGCCGCCACACTCCTGACTCTCCGCTCACCCAGATTTGAGGGTTGATAGTTTCTTTTTCAAATCAATAATTGAAGTTCATACACGCACTCCTGTGCTGTCGATGGCCCCGCGATACCGCGTGAATGAAGCTGAATGTGAGTGATGATGATATGGTTAGGGAGCTTCCCTCTTGAGGTGTACAGCCAAGATTGACTGGTACCGGGCAAAAATGAATTCCAGCACGATCCTTTCATTTTTCTCTTGTGGACAACTTGAGACTTGTAGCTATTCGCTGTTCGCTGCTTCTGTCCTCCGTCCGGTTCTGCCGAACGTTCACTTTATTGTAGAAGAAGCGTCATCAAACGTAAGTTCGTAGACTAGACTAAGCCTTGCGTAAAAAAACTACCTGCTTGCCCAGGGCGACATGGAAATGGCAGAAACGGAACATCGGCACTGAGCGATCACATCGGACAAATGTACGGGACGGAGGTTTAAACCCATCGACGTTCATAGTGCGATCGACCGGTAAAGACTTTGGTGCCTGTACCTGAAATGCGGTGCCTCCTGGAGTGATCGATATGGTGGCACACTGACCGTAGAAAGACGAACAGCCTAAGAAGAGCAGTGGCAGCAGCAGCAGCGACAACGACATTGGATCTCTTTCTTGGCCCCCGTAAAAAGATATCGCAGTGTAACCGTCGCTCTGAAGGAAGCGCACTCGACTTCTGCGCTGGCGATACCACACGGCTCCACACGCGGTTCACCGGTACAGACTACCAGGCCCGAAGAGGTAGACCTTTGGGTGGGTTTCGTTGGGGGGTGATCGTTGGTTATGAACAATAACGACCCGTGCAAGGATACATCAGTAGGACGCGGCCCGAACTATTCTTTCGGGTGGATGTCGCGAGGTTTGTGACTGGTTGCTGTGTCTTCATCCCACTATTGTGTAGTTGCTGACCACGCTTGCTTGCTGTGAAAACCCCGTGGTGCCTGTTCGTTACGTTGCCTCGCTGTCAATGTTATTTTTTCTTGTTTCCGGCGGATACGACGACGTCATTATTATGCGTTACCCCGCCTCTTTCGTTGGCGGTCTGAACCGCGTCTGTCTACCGTACTCTGAACGGTTTATTTATCGATTCACAGAGGGAATTCAGCGGTGAAACCAGGGCAACGTCGGAATAGCGGTGTACTGTACACGCCGTTGGCAAGAGAAAGGATGGCATCCCCTAGTGCAGTACGTTTA